AACAACCGTAGGTTGAAGACAAACAGCACAGACAACCATGCCTTCCGTTGGTCTCACCCGTGTCCTGTGCTGCTGGTTTGAGGGGCAGTACCTTTCCTTTCCAGCCTGGGTGTTTCCCATGTGGAGGGTGGGCTGGTGCCGGTGTACCTGGCTGCAGTTTATCTCCCGAACCGAGGCTAGTCAGGCCTTCAAACCTGGGACCGTTGGTTTTGAACCACCAGGATGAGAGTCCTTCAACAAGGATGACACATGCTTACAGTGCTCTTCTGACAATCCTACCCTAAGGGTCTCAAAGCTGTAGGAAGCCCATTTTCTATGGGGCAAATGGGTACATATTATTTTGTTTGTTTGCTTGTTTGCTTTGGAGTTGGAGTCTCATTCTGTCATCTAGGCTGGAGTGCAGTGGCACATTCACAGCCACCCCAGTGTCGACATGCTAGGCTGTCACGATCTGTCCACCTCAGCCTTCCAAGTTGCCGGAACTACAAGTGTGCACCACCACGCCTGGCTAATTTTTTATTTATTGTAGAGACGAGGTCTCGCCAACATGCCCAGGCTGGTCTTGAACCCACGGACTCAGGCAATCCACTCGCCTCGGCCTCCCAAAGTGCTGGGATGACAGACTGAACCAACGAGTACATATGATTTTGTCACGTGGTCTGGCGATGGAACAGTCTGGAATCTCAGAAACCCCCTCTCTGTGGGTGTGGGAAAGTTATAGGAATAGGAATGAGATGGGAGAGGGTGCAGACAGGAGCTTCTCATTGTTTGGCAAAGTGTATTTGGCTTAGGGGCGTGAGAGGTTCCCCACCCTACCCTTCCCCCACACCACACCACACACACTTGTCTGCACTGAAGCGTCTGTGCACTCCATGGCCTCTTGCCTTTCTCTCTGGGAAACACAGTATATGTATAGTAAGGCTCATTCACTCATTCAACAAAATGTTTGCTGATCACCTGCTTTGGGCCGGGCACTGTTCTAAGAATGTCAGTGCAACAGATGGGTTCCCTCTCCCATGAACCTCAGAGTCCAGTGGGGAGAAATAGACAATAAAGAAAGAAGCCAGGCTTGGTGGCTCAGCCTGTAATCCTGCATCTTGAGAGGCTGAGGTGAGTGGATTGCCTGAACCTGCAGGTTCGAGACCAGCCTGGGCAACTTGGTGAGACCTCACCTCTACAATAAATCAAAAAATCAGCCGGGCGTGGTAGTATGCGCCTGTAGTTCCAGCTACTTGGAAGGCTGAGGCGGTAGGATCGCCGGAGCCCAGCAGTCGAGGCTGTGATGGCTGGGAAAGGGCAATGCACTCCAGTTGGGGCAACAGAGTGAGACTCCAACAAAAGAAAGAAAGAGAGAGAGAAAGGAAGAAAGAAAGAAAGAGAGAGAGAGAAAGAAAGAAAGAGAAAGAAAGATCTGTCAGTTGGTGACAAGGGATGGAGCAGTGGTCGGGAAAGACAGATGGGGACAGAAGGAGCTGAAAGGGTGAGCCCCGCTGCAGACAGCAGAGACAGCAAGGAACTGGGATGGGGTGGCGGGTTGGAAGCTGGAGAGACACTGAGGCAGCCTAAACATGGAGGGAGAGGGTAGCTGGCTGGTGGTGGGGGCAGTGGGGCCAGATTCTTTGGGAGGACTTGGGCGTTTACTCCGAGGAGACGTGATTCGAGGGCTTAAACAAGGTTGGGGCTTCAGGTGACCATCTGCCGCTGTGACATAGACAGCAGCTGCAGGGAGCCGGGGTCCAGGCAGCCCACCCGCGAGGTGAGAGAGGCCGCTGGCTTGACTGGGTGATGGAGGTGGTGGGAGGTGGCCAGATTCAGGATTCATTTTGAAGATGGAGCCGCAGGATTTGCTGATGCGGAATGTGAGAGCGACAAGAAGGATGTCCCCGAGGACTTTGACTTGAGTCAAAAACTACCCTTCTTAACAGGAGCTGTGTCGTTCCACAGACCTCAGTGTTGCGACCCACCCCCATTGACTCAGAGAAGTCCAGACTTTCCCAAGACACTGTTCGGGCCTCAGGGGCCGGGGGCGTGGGGGAGACACGAGAACGAGTTCTCACTTTAATCACATGGCCTGTCCCACTGAGCCCCTCCGGAGCATTCTGGATGTGCCACTTTTCCCAGTCTTCCCAGAAGAATTCTCCTCTGCTGGAGGGCTCGATTTGTGTATCCATCACAACCTCCTCTTCCTATGAACCTCAGATGCTCCGAAGGACTCCTGGGTCAGGAAACGTTCTTTCCCCCCCTCCTCTCTCCGCCCCCCTGTCTGGCCCACTCTGCCAGACTTTTCTGCGTGGAGGATCACTTTCTCTGTGGGCTTGGGGCCCTCCTTTCCTGGCTCTTTCTGGGGTCTCCGTGGTTGCCTGACATACCTGAATCGCAGTTATAAACCTGGTTTGAGCAGTTGCCTTCAGGTCTGTTTGCCTCATGGAAACGAAGGCTCCAACTCTCCATGGCCATCAAGACTTTTCTAGAATATTCCGTGACAGTTGAGTATACCTAGGATCTCTAGGGGGAATCTGTGACTTCCGTGCACATGCAGACTCCCCTCTGATACAGCTGGAAGTTCTCCTTCAAATATGCTCTAAAGTTATCGGTTCATAACTCTCAGTTTACTCGAAAGTGTCGGGCTGGCTTTGTGAGTCACTCAAGCCGCAGCACCAGAGATGATGATTATTGTGGTACCAGGGTGGGACCTGGGAATCAGGATTCCGGGGATGAGAAAACCCCTCCTCTGGTGTTGATGGCCAGGCAAGCTTGGGAAAACTGCTTTGAATGTAAGAGGAGAGGTTCTCTTACTTCTTGCTTTAAACAGATCAGCACAAACTCTAGCCTAGGGGGTTCTAGGCGGCACATCACACAGCCTAGATTGTGTAGAATTTATTTAAGGACAGAGACAAGAAAGATAGAGGGGAAAAAAACCCCTGTGGTCTCAGTCCTCCAACAAGTAGAGCCTTTTTTGGTGAGACAAGACTGTCACAAATGAAAAACACTTAAGAGCATGTGTAGAACAGATACAAACAACTGTATATTAATATTCTGCAAACAAGCCCAGCGCAGTGACTCATGCCCATAATCCCAGCACTTTGGGAGGCTGAGGTGGGAGGATTACTTGAACCCAGAAATTCTAGGCTAGCCTGGGTAACCTAGTGAGACTGTGTTTCTATAAAAAAATTAGCTGGGTGTGGTGGCGCACACCTGTAGCCCCAGCTACTCGGAAGACTGAGGTGAAAGGATTGCCTGGGCACAGGAGGTCGAAGCTGCAGTGAGCTATGATCATGCCACTGCACTCCAGCCTAGGTGACAGAGTGAGGCCTCAACTCAAAAAAATGTACACACACACACACAGAGACATATACCTATAGAGAGAGCTATTTATATATTGATATATTCTGCAAGCAGAGGGGATGTGGCTGAAAGACCAAACAGAGGCTGGAAAGGCTGGGTTTGTGGAAGACAAAGGCTGGGTTTGTAGAAGCTGCAGAGCAGGAAGAAGTTCCCGTTGACATCCAAACGGTGGCCCGATAGCCTTGCCACTTAATACGGCGCCATTCTCTGGAGAGACACACCAGGGCTGAGGCTGCAATGAGGGGTTGGCATGTCACCCACTGAAGCAATCCTCTGTGTGAACTGGCAATGAGCTGGGAAATCGAGGTTTCCTACCTGGAGGAGGCAGGCCAGAGGTCTGGGGTTGGGTTGCACCTGTTTGGGGCTGTATCCCTTTGGCTACAATGCATTTCCAGACCCTGCACTTACCAACAGATGCCAACACCACAACCAGTAGCATTAGTGGGTCACCACCCCCCACCCCCATTTCCAAGAGAAAGGGATTTTTCCCCAGGCTGTGATGAAGAGACTCCACATTTACAGGGGAGAGAGGCTTGGGGACTTTAAACAGTGAGGATCTCTTCTAAGGATCCCCTCTAAAGCCCGTCTGCTCAAGGCAGAGCCCCGTCCCACTCACAGAGTGCACGTGCTTTGAGCTGCTCCTGGTGGGTGTGACAGGTTTGCTGGAATCCACGATTTCACAGACTCGCCTACTGATCAGAGTCCTGTGGGTTGCTTGTTAAAAACTCAGGTATCTGGGCCCTAGACTACAGCTACTGAATCAGAATTTCCAGAGGAAAAGCCTTTTACAAACCATTTCTTGGGGCAGGGTCAATTTGAGAAATTTCTCCAAGCCACGAGCCCTCTCTTACTTACCCGTGAATGACCTAATTCCTGCCTCTGCTTCTGTCTTGCTGCCAGGGCTGAGCTCAGACTGGCATTCTTGGGCGGGGGGGATGCTTTTTTTTTTTCCTATTTAAAGACCAACAGTGACAACAATTTATCAACTGTGTGCCAAGCAGTATGCTGGGGCTTTTGGAGGGAGGGTCGATTATTGCATATCATCTCCCAAAAGCCTAATAAAGCATGTGCTGGCTGGGCGCGGTGGCTCAAGCCTATAATCCCAGCACTTTGGGAGGCCGAAGTGAGAGGATTGCCTGAGCCCGTGGGTTCGAGACCAACCTGGGCAACTTGGTGAGACCTCTACAATAAATCAAAAAATTAGCTGGGCACGGTAGCACACACCTATAGTTCCAGCTACATGGAAGGCTGAGGCAGAAGGATCACCTGAGCCCAGCAGCTCGAGGCTGCGGTGGCCAGGAGCGTGCCATTGCACTCCAGCCTGGGCGACAGAGTGAGACTCCAACTCAAAAAAAAAAAAAAGCATGTGCTACTGCAATCTGCGTTTTTCAGACAGGGATGCAGAAAGAAGTGAAATTACTTGCCCAGAGGTATATGCAGCCAGCGGCTGGCAGGATTCAGGCATCCGACCCATGTCCTCCTCTCCTTAATTAACTCTCTCCACACTCTCATTGTGAACTAACAGCCCCGTCCACACCCCACACACCACTCCCAAGGAGAGGGGAAAAGGGCAGAGAACCTTTTTGTGGGCGTGTGACGGAGGCTCAGGACAGGCAGCCAGGGAAAGGGCGCTGACCTCCCTCTGTGGCTTTCAGGTACTGGAACTCCTTGAGCAACCTGGTGGCCTCCTTGCTGAACTCCGTGCGCTCCATCGCCTCCTTGCTCCTTCTCCTCTTCCTCTTCATCATCATCTTCTCCCTCCTGGGGATGCAGCTGTTTGGAGGAAAGTTCAACTTTGATGAGATGCAGACCCGGAGGAGCACGTTCGACAACTTCCCCCAGTCCCTCCTCACTGTGTTTCAGGTACGGACTCTTCTCTGCTGGGGTTTGGACCGGGAGGGGTCTCGAGTGGCGGGG